CCAACGAAGCATATGCAGTGAGGCTGATAGAGCTTGCTGGTTAGAATGTATTAATAATATGGTTTTAAGTGGGAGGGGGCAAGGGGGAAACCAATAACATATATGAACAAAATTTAATATAAATGAAAGATGGTGTAAAAAACACAAAGCACATGCATGAAACACAATGTATATGAATTACTGTATGCAAACCAACAACAAAAAAAAGTTTCCTACACAGGGAAGGAAGTCAAAGTATTTCTTCCTGGGGATGTGGAAGTTCTTCAATGGGAACTTTTCCAGATCTTTCCATGTGTTTGTTGCTTATGATGATTCTAATGTTGTACCTTTTGGCTAGAATAAATCTGTCATTTCAAGTAAAGTACAAGAAAATCTGTGAAACTGAATTCAACCAGGCTGCCTTATTTTTCTTAAAAAAAAAGGAAGACCAAAATCCTTGCCGTCAAGTCAGAACCAACTCATAGCTGGCCCTCCAGCAGGTTTTCACAAGGCTCTGCACAGGAGACTGCCCATCTTTCTCTTGTAGAAGATGGTTTCTTCTGGGTTCAAACCACCAGAGACGTGCTGCGTTTGGGTTGGCTGCACAACCTCCTATGAACTATGCCACCTGTTACTTCTTAAGTGTGTTTTTCTAAGTCTCACAAGTTTTATGCAATTGACAGAATACAGTCTTCCCAGATTTTCAAGCGTTCCTTTGAGTACAAACTATTTGAACTTCCTTCTCTGACAAACTTCGACATTACGCCATTTCTAAATTTCAAAGGTTATACTGTATTTTCTGTGAGATCTGTAGGCCATTTCAGTCAATTACTGAACACAAAGTAATAGTGGGGACCAGGTAGTGAAAGTGAGGGAGCCCAGGGAAGACCCTGACGCTCATACCTTGCATCCTGGAGGAGCAGTAGGGGGGAAATGTTATGGTCAGTAGGTCAGAAGGTCATTCCTTAAAGAAGACCACCATGGGAAGGTGGTGGGATGGAAAAGAGAGGAAGACCCATGGCCAGGTGGATTGGCACAATGACTGGATCAATCGGCTAGAATGTGTCAAAGATGATAAGGCTGGTACATGATAGGACAGAGTGCAGATCTATCCACAGAGTTGCTGTGAGTTGTACTCAACTTAACAGCACCTAACAACAACAGGTCAGAAGTAAGAGTGAGGTGTGGATTCCCTACATGAGGCTGATGTCTGCCCATCTGGCAATCTGAAGAACATCCACTTAAGGTATTATCTCTGGTCTAGTTTCAGATGACTTAAAGTGTTATGTGGGAGGATGAGATCTGAGATGATTCAGAAGTGGGATTTAATTAATTTTCACATTTTCAGGCATGGATATCGATTGATTTTTAACCACAAAACAAATACTGAAGAGATTACTGAAACTGCGTGGATTTCACACTTATTTAGGTTGAAGAGATTAAATGATTGCTTTGAAGAAAATGAGCTTCAATATCACAAAGTCTCATTACTAAGTATTCAACACAGACATGATGCACTGCATTGGGAAAATTTGCTGCAAAGGACTTCTCCAAAAGTGCTCCAGAGAAAGGACATTAGTGTAAAGTCAAAGATTGTGCACTTAATCCAAACCAAATCCAAAATGGTATTTTAATTTGTTTCATATGCATCTGAAAGTTGGGATAATGAATAAGAAGTCTAATCCATGCCTTTGAACTGTGGTGGTGGCAAAAAATACCCAACATCCCATGGACTGCCAACAGAACAAACTATCTTGGAGGAAGTGCAAGCTGTGTGCTCCTTAGCAGCAAAGATAGTAAAACCTTGCCTCGCAGATTTAGGGCATGTTTTCCAGATGCTCCAGCCCTTAGAAAAAAAAGCATAAAGATGGAAAGGTAGAAGAAGGTCAGAGAAAAAGAAGATCCTCAAGGAGATGGATACAATGACTGTAAATGGGTTGGAGCATGGCAGAGACTGTGAGAATGGTGTAGGATTGGGCTCTAGGCTTTTCAGCTCTGCTATGACTGATGACGCCCCAAAACAGCAATACCGTGTAATAAAAGGGATGATGATTTATGCAGTAACTTTCCTTTGTTCCCTGACATAAAAGGATTGGAAAGTGAAGTCGCTGAGGCCGTACTCTCCAGGTTTGTTTTCTTTCCTGTGCATTGCAACTGGTAAAGAGTATTATAATAGTTACACATTTTGACTAGCAAACATATTTAAGTATAATAAAACCTACTAAAGCTAGGACTTGAAGAATCTGGAAACCACTCAGAGAAAGATATATTTTCCACTAAATAGAGAATGACAGAAGAATGATGACAGCATACTATCAAAGGTGAAAAACTTGAGAGGCCCAGAAAAACACATCAATCCTTTCCAGTTCTGGCTCTCATAGCTCTTTCTGAGCTCTTGCATTATTATATCATGTACATTGCAAAATATACTAAAATAGCATTTTTAATGAGATAAATCTGAAAGAAAGGTTCAAATACTTGTCCCTATGTTACTTTTAATGTATGCAGCTTATTTGGGAGAACTCCATCCTAGGACACCAAGTTACCACACTACAGTATACAGCACACAGAGTGCATATTATCATACACATTCCAAGAGGATCAAGTGAGTGTGGGATGCAGTTCAAAACCTGTATTTCCAGTACACACCCTAGGTAAGTATAAGCCATTGGCGCTTTGAAAACAACAAAAGGCAGAGAGCCTCCCTGCCATATCTTCAGCACAAAAACTATAGCAAGGAGGAGAGTAGAAATGATAAAATAATGCTTTATCTTTCAGAGATTTTGCTAGTGGTGCCATATGCATTCTAGTCAATCTCAACTTATAGGAAACCTGCAGGACAGAGCAGAAATGCCCCACACGGTTTCCAAGTGCACAAAGCTTTACAAAAGCAAATTGCTAAACTGTCACACACAGCAGCCAGTGGATTCCAACTACCAACCTTCAGTCTGGCAACCAAATGCCTTAACCACAGGCCTACCACCAGAGCTCTTAAAATGGAACATTTAGATACATAACATACTTAAGGAGCTCTGGCGATCTAGTGATAAGAATCTAAACTAAAATTCTGAAGAAACATGGTTTAAATCCACAGGACATGGATAGGCAATCTCTTCTTGTGCAATTAACTGACTCTGAAAACCTGCTGGAGGGTCAGCTATGGGTCTGTCCTAATTCGACAGTACACAACGAAAACATACATACTTACACTTATTACAATGAAAAAATTAATTTGTTAGGTATTTTACATTCTGAAGTATCCTGGAGTGAAACCAGGATATTCCTTGGAGACAACGATTCTAAAGCTCCATCTGACATATCTGGGCATGTTGCAAGGAGAGACCAGTCCTTGGAGAGGGACATTATGCTTGGGAAAGTGGAGGGACAGCGCAGGAGAGGAAGACCCTCAATGAGATGGATTAACTCAGTGACTAGAGTAATGGGAGTAGGTGTGTCAGAGATAATAAGGTTGTCTCAGGATAGAGCAGGTTTCAGAGCTGTTGTACAGGGGTCATGACTTGATGGCACATAACAACAACAACTAAGCATTGAATAATTATCAGGCTCTCTGAGATCTACAAGTCTGGGTTCAAATTCCAAATCTACCATTTACTTGGGCAAATTAACATCTCTCTTTAAGTCCCCGTTTCCTCATAGATAAAGTAAGGGTAACAATAAATAGCTGATCTGGTTTCAGGTTCCTTAAGTGGCACTCTATTATTAGCCAAACCCACAGATACCCCAGAAGATCTTCCCGGCTGACTTTCCAAAAGGAGTCTTGAAAACCCTCTAGAGCTCTCCTCTCTGTCCACATGGGGTCATCATGAATCCGAGTCAACCTGACAGCAAAACCAACTTGGACTTTTAGGAAGATTAAAAAAAAAATCTACCTAAGTAGATTAATATTATCCATTTAAGCCCTTAATCAAGAAAGTCTTTTTCAAGCAGTACTTGTTGTTCGTACAAATGATACAAAAGACAGGATAAGGCTCTGATAACTACACATATTGCCAACAACTAATTTACAAGTGTTCCCAAATGTTCTCTAAAATTTAGAGTAGATGTTTTACCCTGTTTCAAAACTTGACAAGACTTTATCTGTAGAATAAAATCTAAACCGCATGACAGAATACGGAACACTTTTCACACACTTTTCTCTCTCTTCCATTTCAAATGCTACCACTCTTCTTTTAGTCCATCCTCTGATCTTTCCAGGTTCTTTGCCCATATCAAAGCAGGCCACATCCTCAAAGTTCTGGGCATTCTTGCCTCCAGTGAAAAGAGTCACTAAGTAGTGCACTTCCTATAGTTATTCAAAGCATCATTAGTCATAACCTTAAAATCTAATTATTTCTACTAATATGTGTTATATTAGAGCAGGGTAGGCTTCCTATAGATATACTACAATTTCAGATTCCTAAATGTGTTGTCAGTCGTACATGGCATGAGATTCAGATAGAAGAATATGGAACAGGGAGTACAGCATGGCAGCAGGACAGATTGAGTCATTCTAGAACTCGCTTTGACCACACATACGCAGAGGCAGACATTCTCCTTTCATGAGAGGTCTTGAAGCAGTTTAATCAGTTGTTGGGGAACCAACATCTTTACTTCCTCCTCGCCTCACCATGGTTGGCTCTGATCCAGGAAGAGAAGTTACTTATTAAGCAAGCTGTCCCACATGAAACAACATCTCTTCCAACAAACCCACAGCCACTTCTAGAACATGCCCCAACTTACGGCTTCTTGGCAGGTATTTATCATTTTTCTAGTCCACACATAATTTACCAATCAATAGTCATAAGCATATCTGCTTTAAAAGATAGTTGAAAACAGAACTAAAAATTTAAAGAAAAGCCAAATTTTTAAGAAGGAAAGGATCTTGGATAAGTCTTTATCTATACATGTGTATGTATCAAAAATAAGCAAGTACCAGAGATCTCTCTAATGAAGAAAAGAAGAGCAGAAAGAAAGGGGAGAGGAGAAAAATACTAAAGATTAGTTTTTACCAATATACTTACCATCACTGGATGCACCATCTGCTATACAAATGTAGTAACTTTCATTTAGATCAAATCTATTCTTTAAACCAGGAAGGCTGATGTTTCTTCTGAAAGAACACTGCATAACACCATCCACCAACCTCCAAGCCATATCCTCAAGATGACCCTAAAAATACATATAATGGACCTTCTCAACACTCTGCAGAGATTTGCTAAAAATAAGATATGATCAAAAGCCTGACCTGCCAAATATCCTTTCTCTGAGACTGTATGTGTATATTTTATCTGCAGTTCCATTGTGGTATTTTTTTTTTCATTTCCTTTGAAGAATACTGAATAATTTCTCTCCTATTTATTTGCCTTTCTCCTAATTGGCAAGAATATTATTTTTACTTTCTATCAGAATCCTATGATTCCTCTTGCCAGATTAGAAACTTTAGATGATGCATAAACTCCATCCAGCCACTGACATGCATTTTGAAACACTGAAGAAATAACTTAGCAAGTCATACTCTAATAGTCAAAATGCAACATGCGACTGGATAGACATTCCAACTTGGCTGTCTAAGCAAACCTCATGGGAAAGCCATACATAGACTATAACATACAGTAAGTAAAAGACACTGCTCTGTTCATTGCTTAGAAATTGTTAAGTGGAAAAGGCTCTTCTCTACCAGAAATAGGGTACCTTGACACAGGCACAGATGACAAGAGGGCACTTACAATGACTGCCCAAGAAAGTGAGTGTTCCTCACACTCACTAATTGGGTAATTCTTTGTCTCTACCAGAAGCCTCATCTTTAAAAAATGTGTCTATACCAATGAAATATTTTTTCTTTTACTTTTCAAAGAGAAGAGTGAACTGGGGGAGGGATAGGTAGGGAGAAAAATGCAACAATGAATGTATGGGAATCCAAAATTCATGTAAACGTTCATTAAAATTAACTTAAAAAATTTTTAAAAATGTTACAGTAAACTCTAAAAAAGGAGTGAATGCCTTACAAATGTTATTAATTGAATTTTGACCCTCCAAATTGTGTGATGGAAATCCTAACCTCAAAGCTGTGACTATAATCCATTTAGGAATTAATTGTCTTTATTACATAAGTAAGGCAAGATTAGTACAGGCTGTATCTTGAATCAATCTCTTATGGAATCTGAATGAGATCAAACAAGCAAGCTGGGAAGCAGAGATGAGGGAAGAGAGATGCCAAATCCCATGAAGACTGCCCAGCAGCAGAAGCTCAGGAGAGACAAGGACCTTTCTCCAGAGACAACGAGAGATCACCTTCTCCAGGAACTGAATTCACTCTGAATTAACTTTCTGGACTCCAAAACTATGAGAAAAATAAATTTCTGTTTGTGCTGTTTCTGGTACAGCAGCACTAGATAATTAAGACAACAAAAAATAAAATATTCTTTCTTAAGATGTAACAAACAGGACTGAAATGACACAAGAGTACAACTCTTCCTACCAAAGAAATTTGTCTTCTAAGTTCTGAAACAAAGAAAAGTTCCCACCTACAGAAAAATGCTGTTGCTAAGACTGCACTTGGGCTTTGTAACTGCCACAGTTAGAAGCTATACTATAGCACAGCCATTGTTGTTATTGTTGTTGTTAATATGCCTTCAAGTGGCCTGTGACTCATAGTGACCCTATGTACAACAGCCTTAAACTCTGCCCTATCACGTGCCAATCTCACTATCTCTGACACAACTACCCCCATTAGCCCAGCCACTGAATCAATACATTTCATCGAGGATCTTCCTCTCCTGTGCTGTCCCTCCCACCCTCCCAAGCATGACGTCCCTTTCCAAGGACTGGTCCCTCCTTGCAACATGTCCAAAGTATCAAAGCTTCAGAATCCTTGCATCTAAGGAGCAGCCCAGCTTCACCTTCTCTAGGACAAACCTGTTTATTCTCCTAGCAGCACAACCATGCCAGCCACGAAGCCAGAGGTGGACCAGAAAAAGGGAGATTGTCAAGATTTTCACACCTACCTCAGAGTCCATCACAGGGTGACTTCGTCCAGTCAGATGGGAAGCCTTTATGTACACAGTCTGATGATCACGAATACATATATATGCATCATCATCACCCTGAAAAATATTTGCCAATTAGAAAGTCTAAATGCATTTCAACACTTTTCTAGACCTTCATTTTTTTACATTAAAAATGAATAAAATCAAACAGTGTTTAATTCTTTTAAAAAATAATTTGTTTCCTAATCTTAGATATTATTCGCCTTTGAGCTGTGGTGCTGGAGAAGAGTACTGAATGTACCATGGACTGCCAAGAAAACAAACAGATTCATCATAGAAAGGATTAAACCAGGCTGCTCCTTGGAGGCAAGGATTCTGGGGCTTCGTCTGACATACTTTGGACATGTTGTAAGGAGAGACAGGTCTTTAGAGAGGGACATCATGCTGGGTAGAGTAGAGGGACAGCGCAGGAGGGGAAGACCCTCTATGAGGTGGATTGATCCAGTGACTGGGGTAATCGGGATGGGTGTGTCAGAGGCAATGAGATTGGCACAGGATAGAGCAGGGTTTTGGGCTGTTGTACATAGGGTCGCTATGAGTCACAAACGACTCGACGGCACATAACAACAACAACAATCTTAGATGGTATTGTAACTTCGAGTTAATTGGTTCTGAAATTTACATATTAAAAATAATTTTATTTTAGTATAAAAATCAATATAATTTCATTGAAAAACTGTATTTCAACATGTTTACATGCTCAAAAACCCATTACCAATTGAACACTGCTAATATTACTTCTTTAGTGATCTCTGGTGGCTTAGCAGTAAAGAGCTCCATCACCAACCCAAAGGCATGGGGTTTGAACTCACTGGCTGCTCCCCAGGAGAATAAGGGCGATCTCCTCTCATGAGATTACAGCCTCTGAAAACCCACTGGAGGGTCAGCTATGAGTTGTGAGTTGGTTCCAACTTGAAGGCATTTAACAACAGTGACCACAAATATCTGTATCCTACATATTTTAATCCAGAGAAGGAAGATGGGCAAACTCCTCTCATGAAATTTACTGCTTCTAAAAACTCATTAGAGAATCAGCTATGAGTCAGTTCTGACACAATGGCACACAACAACATATTTCAATGACTATCAATAGACTATCCTGGGTTGGATATTATGGGTACTTTAAAGATGAAAGACCCTATGATCAAATATTGCTACAAATCACACACACGGAATAGATTTACTGTAAAACTGGAATTAAAAGACCTGAATATGAAATGCATTTGTGTTGCTATTGGTCTAATCTTTATCTTTGTCTTCAATATTCTTAAAACTATAAAGTTAGATCATATTATTTAAAATTATAAGGCTACATACACAATAATTTTTAAAATGATTACTGCATCTTCAAAGTACATTTAAGTGGTGGCCTAGTTGTAAGAATCTGTGCTGCAATCCCAAAGGCATGCAGTTTGAATCCCTCAGCTGCTCCACGGAAAACGGATGGGCAATTTCATTCAATGCAACTACAGCCTCGGAAAATCTGTTGGAGGGTCAGTTATGGGTGAGTTCTGACTGAATGGCACATCACAACAACACATGAATAAACCAGATTTTAAGCTACTGCTTGTAATTCTGATTCTTTCACTTCGTCCAAGGTGCTCTCATAAATTACACAATTATACAAAAGTGCATGAACTGTAGCCACTTAACAAGAGTAAATAAATTATTTATAATAAGTTATAATAAATTCTACTATAAATACCAACAGGAAATTCTAACCTGTTTCATATCTCAGAATCAAATTTATGCAAGGCAGTTCCACTTATCAAAATTCTCAAGGACATAATCTTAGAAAGTAATTATTCACAGTATACATCTTATACTCAAATAAGACTAACTCAATTCAAGGTAAGAAATGAAGATTAGCCATAATATAATCATCCAGGAGTCAAAAAACTACCCATGCACCAAACCAGCTCATTTTTTGTTTTATTCAATTGGAAGGTAGGGATTTTCACATATTTAGTTCTAAAAGAAAAATACTATATGAAAACATATGAAATGAAAATATATGAAATTCAAATTTGAGGGTCCGTAAGTAACAACATGGCTCACAAATTCTAAATTAGTTAGTATTTGGACCTTTGCCAAATACTTTTGCCTACCCTTGTTTTAAACAATCAGCACATGCTTTTTAGAATGTGTATAACCAAAGACAAATATTCTTCTGTGATTTAAAAACTGTTAATATAACAAATTAGTTTATTTTGAAGCAAATGAATAATAAGAAGGCTAAATCATTAGTGGAAGATCTACTGCATGAAGCAATTGCATTTATTGTACTGAGACTTTATTGGGATTACTTGGGAAATGACACAAGAGTGAATATTCCATAAAAGTATTATTATTACTATATAGCAATTTCAAATTTTCTCATTGTAATAAAGATATCAGAGTAATTAGGGGGAAATCCTTATTCTTAGAGATACATGATTAAAATTTAAGGGTGAAATGTTTATAATGTCTATAAAATACCTCCAAATAGTGCAGAGGAGAAAAAATAAGCGTGTCCAAATATCACATAAGTTGATTGATATTTATACTTCATTTTTTAATTTAATATGACCAAAGAAATAATCCACATGCATAAAGCATGCAGAGCCAGCACAGAGAAATAATGTACAAGGGAGTTACATAGTCTGTACATCTGTTATGTGCATAAAAATGTAATGCATATATACACAAAGTATGCTTCTAATAAAACGATCAGTGGTAGAAAGATGGGTAGTCTCCTCTCTTAAAGACGTGCAGCCTCAGAAATCCAATGGAGGGTCGCTGTGAGTCAGAATCAACTGGATAGCAGTCTATCCCACTTAGAGTGGTAAACTCAAGAAAAGGCTAACAATTGTTCATCATACTAGTCTATAAACTCTCCTGTAAGTAATTTATGGCTGCGTGGGAAAGAGAGAGGGACCAGACAGGCAAATAAAAGGGAGAAGTCCAAGTCACAATATTGGAGGGAGAAGATACCAGAAAAGATTGAGGCAGCAATAAAATGTTTAAGATATTGCCTACCTGACAAGACACAACAAAGTCTGTTCTTTTATTAATATGGTTAACCACCAAGAAGGGGGACGAAGACAGAGAGACAGAGATATTGAGAAAATGATAGGTTAGTGTCAGAGAATTCATTTTCATGTTCTACCGTCTAAGAGAAGATAAGAGGTTAGTATCCCACAATTTAGACACTGAGAGAGTATCTTAGAGCAAAATTATACAGAGTAAGGAAGGTAGAAGAGTGGAAAAAGAATGTAATTAACTCCTATATATGATATACTTTATATCATTTAATACCTGAAATGAGAAATTTGATTTTAGGAATTTGGATTTTAGCAAAAATCCGCATACTAACAAGTCACTGTCACAAAAAATATGGAAAATTACACTTTCAATCACTTTTAGTGACAAAGTCTAACACTAAAACAGTCACCATCATTAATTTACAAATCAAATTGAGAAAAGGTATAATTTCTCTAATCAGAATTCATAACAACAGATAACTGCAGTGTTTAAATCAAGAAAAATTAGGATATAGGAATACTTTAAAATTTAAAAATAAGAATTAAAATATGTGTCATAGATAAGTGTTTCTTGAATTGGAATAATATTGTCTTCCAGGAGTGATTGGTCAATGTCTGTAATCGTTAGCTGTCACACCAGGAGGGTGAGGATGGCATGGGAGAGTATGCTCCCAGCACCTAGTGTATGGGGGTCAGAGATGCTGCTAACCATCTAATAATGCACAGGGCACATTCCCAAACCTTTGGTTAGGCCAAAATGGAACATGTGCTGAGGTTGTGAAACACTGAAAGTAGACTGCAAAATCATTCAAAAGCTCATTGATATAGAGTGGGAACCAATTCATAGCTCCAGGGTTTTCCCTATATATTATGGGCGGAAATTTTCCATCTTTCATCTAAGGAGAAACTGGTGGATTCGAAGCACGACAGAGATACTACCTTTACATTAACAGTACAACTTCCTGTGGAGTGTACCACCAGAATTCCCTAGCAAAATCATTACTTAAGACAAAAAAAAAAAATACACAATATAATGTAGCTGTCTACTTTCCTTAGTTTATTTTTTTTAATATCCTCCAAAGTTTTCTACTCTGATAATAAGAGATGTTGGACAATTGAGCAACAATTATGGAAAAAATATTCTGGAACTTGTGTTGAAAGTAACATGTTATTGTTGTGTACTGTCGAGTCAGAATTAGCCCATAACTGACCCTCTGATGGTTTTTCAGAGGCTGCAGTCACTAGGGAGGAGATTGCCTGTCCTTTTCCAGTGCAGCAATTGGTGGATTTGAACCACGTGCCATCAGGATTATAGCACAGCTTCCTACCACTAGGCCACCAGAGCTCCCTAATATGTTATTATTTAAGTTAATTTTTAATTTGAAAAGTGTTAAGTGAAAGATAACTAATTTAAAAGATTATACTTGATTAAGCCTTTAAAGTTCAAATAAATGTACACTTAAATTTTATCATCACATCTTTTGTTGTTGTTGTTGTGTGCTGTCGAGTCGCCTGCGACTCATAGCAACCCTATGTACAACAGCCCTAAACTCTGCTCTGTCCTGTGCCAATCACACTGTCTCCGACACTCCCATCCCAATTATCCCAATCACTGAATCAATCCACCTCATAGAGGGCCTTCCTCTCCTGCTATTTTATCAAAATTCCATTCATTAGTTCTTTGTACCATTTCC